ATTTTAAATAGTATCAAAATTATGGGCTCATTTAATTTTTCACTTTAATTTGTAGGAAGCGGCAAAAATTGAGGTGGCGCCACGAAGGAACCTGTAAAACAATTTTTGCTTTAATAATTACATGCAGATTGACAAATCATTTTTAACAGTGTCATTTTATGTTCCGAAAGCTGCATGGCATGCTGTTCCTTTTGGTTCTGAGTAGACCTATCACTAAATCATAAAAAGTGAAATGCCTCTCTACATTCGCTGTTGGTGGTTATCAATATTGCACCTGTTTATTGGGTAAAGTTACTAATATTAGTTTTAAACATGCAGTTGAGGGTCATCATTATTTGGCACAATGATGTGTTACAATTAAAAATAAATCAAGAAAAAACAATATAAAAATAAAAGGCACCCCTGAAGTCATTAGATATGATAAATTGTGTCACATTAATTAATCTTATCTCAGCTAAAGCAGTGAGTTTAAAACAGGATGATGGAACTAGTTTAATGAAGAATCTGTCTCTGAAATAATTATTAAATCAAGTCTTTATTTACGTAGGGAAAAGTATGTTTAACAACCTGGTAAAATACACCAGAGTGCAGGAAACGGGATCTATTTTATTCAAAATTTTCTGGGGGAGGAACCACAGACCCCCCCACCCAACTTTTAAAATGGTTCTGACGCCCATGTTGATGTCAGAACCAAAACWGTTTGATGTGAACTCGCTAGGCAGTTTATTGTGCAACACCGAGGACACGGACGTAAAAAACTGATCTCTGCGCAGACATCCGGTTTGAATCCATGTGGACCTCTGCAGAGTGAAGTATGCAAGAGTATGTGACGGCCTTTAGTGAGTTTAGTTTGATTTATATATATATATTTTTTTAATTTGGTGTGGTTGTGGTGTCCAGGTTTTTAAAGTCAAAAAAATTTTCTTGGAGAATGCGGGCATCGATCCCGCTACCTCTCGCATGCTAAGCGAGCGCTCTACCATTTGAGCTAATTCCCCTGTAAGTCAAGAGCAGGTGCTGTGACCCTCACCCTGTCCCCCCACCTCCCCAGACGCACTGACCACAGAGATAAAGTTTCCAGTCAAGTGCCAGGGACGTTTCCTCACCCTCTGTTTATCTGTCTGACATATACTGAAGCTGCTGCACACTCAGCCCTGAAATCTGCAATGCCACAACATTAACCTGCGGTTGCAGGCCTATGACTGCAGCTCAACATAACGCAGGAGATTAAAGATTAAGCATGATCAGATCCTTCAAATCAGGACTTTTAAATTCTGGTTATTGGAATGTAAAATASCTGAGAGGGGTCTCTGCAGTCATTAAGTAGGAGTTTCTAACATTGTGAGAGGAGTTGACCCAAGACATGGTTGGTCGGATTAACGGTGGGGTTTAAAGGGATCTGATTAGTTGTAACATTAGACTTTATTTGATAAACTTTTATTTTAACTGTAAAATAAAGACTGTAAAAATACTGTAGGATGTTTAGTTCTGTAAATTTTTAAAAAATTATCTTAAACACGAACGGAGCCATTTTATTTACGCACAAAGCATTCTGGG